CATCATCAGCCTCTTGTCCTCATCTGGTGGTAAGTAGGCAATCCAATATATTACTAGTGGCACTAATCTCTAATTTACCTCACATTAAATGGATACTATAGTCACTAGAAGCACTACAGCTTAATGTTGTGGTTCTGGTGTCTATAGCCTGTGCCTGAAGGCTTTTTAATGTAAACACACTGTCTTTTCAGATAAAAGACACTTTGTGAAGACTGGCGTTGGCCCATATGGCAGAGCATATGGGCGGGGCATTGTGATGTCACATGGTGGGCAGGACATATGGGGGGGGGGCAGCAAATCTTTTTTTTTGCCTAGGGCGGCAAAAATCCTTGCACCGGCCCTGATCCTGTCTGACAGGTTTTAGTACTAGGACCTTTTGTCCTACCTGGAACATGCGTTGGTGGGCACCCCGATCGTACCATACTTTTTGTCACCTGGAGGTTTTTCTTCACCATCTGGGCTAGCTGCTCCATGTGGTCCCGGCGTTCCAACACATATGATACGATGGGGCTCCCCTCGTGTTCCGTTTCTCCCTCCCTATGCTCACTAATGAGATCAAGGGGAGCTCGTACCCTTCTCCCATATAGCAGCTCGAAGGGAGAAAACCCGGTAGATTCCTGCGGTACCTCTCGATCCGCAAACAAGGGGTGAGGCAGAAACTGCTCCCAGTCTCTGTATTCGTCTGTGAATGTCCTCAACATTTGTTTGAGGGTACTATTAAAACGTTCACAGAGACCGTTAGTCTGTGGGTGGTATGGTGAGCTGAGTAGGGGCTTAATACCACAGACCTTCCATAACTGATGAGTGAGATCTGCGGTAAATTGCGTCCCTTGGTCAGAAAGAATTTCTTTAGGGAAACCCACTCTGGCGAATATCCCGACCAGTGCACTGGCAACAATGTCTGCCTGGATATTTGAGAGAGCAATGGCTTCCAGATAACGGGTAGCATAGTCCACCACGGTAAGGATATATCGTTTACCGGATGGACTGGGTCTTTTTAGGGGTCCTACCAGATCAACTGCTATCCGGCTGAAAGGTTCTTCAATAATATGCATACATAGCAGTCGAGCCTTGGGATGATCCCCCCTCTTCCCTACCCTTTGAAAGATGTCGCAAGTCCTGCAGTAGTGTCGCACATCCTTAGAGACTCGCGGCCAAAATAAGTTTTGGGTTACTCGATGGGATGTGCGAGTTACTCCCTGTGGCGGAACCAACCTCGCCACTATGCACTGGAGAAGCCTGGTTGCCAGCCTCCTGCCATGTGACTATGGCCCCTGGGATGTATTGCCCTTTAAAGACATGATTTGGGCATAATGGATTTGTGTTGTGCTGCTGCTAGCCCTTTTAAGAACCATCTGGGGACATACTGTGGAGTTACTGGGTGGCCACCATTTCCTGTATCAGAAGCACATGGTGAGAACAATGGATGGCGGCCACTTTAACTCACAGACACTGTGTGGACTTTTCATCACGGTGCCATCTCGCCAGTATTTGTTGCACAGAGACATCGTGCGGTGGTTTTGGACTATACAGCAGGGGACACATTATACAGTGATGGTTTTTTTTATTTAGCCTGTATATGTTCTGCAGAATCTGCATTAAACTGTATTTTTCCAAAGTACTGAACGGATCTGGGTGAATTTTTGATATGTGGTTCACCAAGATCCCCTGGTTCCAAGGATATACGGGGTTATTGCATGTTTTGAGGTCCCTGTGATGTGTTTTATAAAACTGTATTTCTCTGTCTGTGATAATTAGATTACCCATTGTGTAAGGTAATTGTATCACAGGCAGAGGGGAGGATTTTGTGTGGGAGTGTGTGGGTGTATTGTATGGATTGATTGGCTGTTTTGTATGTAGCCCTGTGGGTACTATGTTTGTGGATTGGGAATAAAGAGGAGATGTATGTGACAGTACAGAGGTTCTGTTTAACCCTCAAGGTGAGTGTCGTCTCATTATTGGGGAAGGATTTATTGTATGCTGTTTATTCCAGTTTGACTGCTAGGAGAGTAAACCTATTAGTATGGTTCCTATGCTTGGGAGAATTTATTTGGAACTTCTCGGTTAGGTGATTGTGGTGTCTGCCAGAGTGCTTGTAGGTCCTCAGAGGCGCTAGGAGCATCCTTCAACGGAGGTACCCAGTCGGGGTGCCAGGTGATCCGTTACATTGGTGGCAAGCGGTGGGATGGCATCCTAGTGCGAGGTAAAGCAGCTCAGAGACACAGTTCGTTTGGAGTTACAATTTGAGGGCAACGCCAGTACCCGTACAGCGCCCCTATCTACGAAGGAACTCAGAAAATGGAGGAGAAGTTGCAAGATAGATTGTACTGTTACGTATCCCTGAGGTCGGGAGCAGTGTCAGAGGAAGACATGTTGAGGTACAGAGAGAGTGCCAGAGCTGGGTTGTGGGACGAAGCCCTAGAGGAAGTACAGTATTCGCGAGGGGATCGGCGCCACAGCAGAAGGCAGCGAATCCTGGCTCGAATGGCAGAGCGGATGCACCTCCTGAAGAAAAAGACCGAAGAAGCGTGGGTGATTAGACTCGAGATTTTAGTATATGCAGAACTGGCGCTCGACGACGCATACCAGGCGATACAGTGGTACGCAGCTCAGTGTGTCCCCGAGTTGGCAGAGTATGAGTTCCCAGAAGGCGGAGGTTACGCTGGCCCTGGCCTATTTTGGGACAATATTGACGATGAGGACTTTGGGAAAGCTACTGACTCTCGTTTTTGGGACCTGTGTTACGACCGAGAAGACATGCTGGGGCTCCCTAGTGCTATTGACCTCGAGGCAGACATACAGTATTTGGTCACCAATGAATGGAACCTGGAGTGGGATTACCTGCGACTCATCAATGAGGCCCGGGAAGAGACAGCCGGTCCTTTTTCCCAACAGCAACCAGCGGTACCCGAGGTAGCGGACCTCCTAGACTGGTCCTGCGAGGGTCCCCAGCGGCAGTGTGTGTCCCAGGGAGCAGCAGTGTGTGTCCCGGAGCTGAAGGTGTTGTCCTTCCTCCCCAGCGGCAGTGTGTATCCCAGGGAGCTGAAGGTGTCGTCCTTCCTCCCCAGCGGCAGTGTGTCCCAGGGAGCTGAAGGTGTCCTTCCTCCCCAAGTGTGTCCCAGGGAGCTGAAGGTGTCGTCCTTCCTCCCCAGCGGCAGTGTGTACCCCAGGGAGCAGAAGGTGTTGTCCTTCCTCCCCTGCGGCAGTGTGTATCCCAGGGAGCTGAAGGTGTCGTCCTTCCTCCCCAGCGGCAGTGTGTATCCCAGGGAGCTGAAGGTGCCGTCCTTCCTCCCCAGCGGCAGTGTGTATCCCAGGGAGCTGAAGGTGTCGTCCTTCCTCCCCAGCGGCAGTGTGTACCCCAGGGAGCTGAAGGTGTCGTCCTTCCTCCCCAGCTGCATTGTGTACCCCAGGGAGCTGAAG